GGTGGGGGGTGGCTGGAGAAGACAACGTTTAACTTTTATTTGGTAGTTATTGAGGCTGGGGCGGGGTCGGGGTCAGGGGAGTCCAGGTCTGGGCCCTTGCATTTGTCAGTTTCTCCTGGATAGCTCTGCTCTCTTGGTTGTTTTTGTAGAATAAGCCTTGTGCGTGGCATTGGTGAGTTGGCTGAAGCTAGCAGACAGGTTTGGCCAGGGTTTGCTGGGGAATAGTTTTGAGATGTTGGGCAAGGCTTATCCCCTGGATAAGTGTCCTCCTCGATAAATCAGGGCTGTATATGAGGATCAGATACCATAATGGACTGGAAAGAGCTGAACGGTCTGTAAAAAAAAAAAACAAACCAAATGCTAGTGGTTTCTCTACACCTGCAGCATGTAGAGGAAAGCTCATTGCCATACCCACAATAACCCACATACTCACTAGTTGTGGGACCTCCTAAGGCAGAGCTAACATAGTAAGGAGTAGACTTAATAAGGGCATGGGCCTTAATGTATGTGCTTTTGTTATTGGTCAAGCCAGATAGAGGTTTGGGGTGAAAAGTGCCCAGCCCAGGACCTGGCTGACAGTAGACCCAAGGGAATTGTTTTGTTTGATTCCGTCTGAATCTGGACTGAGTTGCCAATTATTAAGGTGAAATGACAGATCTGGGCTTCCTGTGGTTCCAAAGTCTATGACTGGAAATCCATAGGTGAGCTGGCAGTTGAAGCTGGCTGAAGGACAGCCAGACGTATTCCAGAAGTGGTTAGGGATCTCTTTCATGGGGGAAGAGGAGAGGGTTTATAAATAAACCTCACATGTGTCTTCAGCATTCTTTTTCAAAGGAGACAATCACTGAACTTTGGTTAATGTGCCAATTCAGTGAATCTGTCTTGCCCATTTTGAGTTAGGATGGGGAGAGGAAGAAATAGGTCCTTTCATCTTTTTCTGTCCTCTCCCTTCCCCTGTTTCCTTCCCCCATCCCCACTCCCTCACAAGCACACACTAACCCTGAAGCTGATGAGATTGAGTGACTGGCACTTGGGACCACAGAGAAATGTCAGAGTATTTGGTTACAGACTCAAGGAAACCTCTCATTTTAGAGTACTCATTTGGTAAGACTCAGCAGCCTGGAATGGGGGCAAAGTGTTTGTGTGGGGGAAGAAACTTAAAAATGAGATTCACCCACATCAGGGTGCTGTTTTGCATGTTCTACAGCACGTAGGCTGATTTGGAAAGGGGACAGGAGTTTGAGCCAGAAGACCTAGGGCTGGGCCACTCACCATCTATGTGGCCTAATATGACCTCTTTGGCCTCAGGCCCCTTTACCCGGAAAATAACTCTAAAGGCCTACGTTTTTTTTTAAAAAAAGGGCAAGATTATTTTGTTTGGAAGCCCATGCGCAATCATAAATGAGAGTCTTACACCTGTGCTTTAAATTATTTTGTTTTAGAGAAACAAATTTAAAGAGGGTACATATTTCATGAGTGCTCCCTGGCCCGTTCTTGGCTAAACTACACAATTAAATCTTTTCAGCATGGAGAAGCACAAACTTGGGAGTCTGTGGCACTCTATCTGGTCTTAGACCCAGGAAAGAAGGGAGGGGAAACTTTGAAACAGAAGGCAAAGATTCTTCAGAAAAGCATAGATCCTCCATCTCAGGTTGTATTCTGCAGAGTCTCTATTCAGTCTTAAGTGTTTCAGGTAGTCAGGAAATACTGCTTGGCTGTTTGTCCTGGCACGTCACTTGAACCCAAGTCTCAGTTTTGTCACCAGTGAAATTGGGATAAAGATATTGACCCTGTCGGCCTTGTGGAATCATTCTCACACTTGAAAGATAACATTTTAGCAGGCTTCGAAAAGCGTCCAGAGTTTTCAGGCCCCTGAAGGATCATCCTCATTAACATTGAATTTTTTCATTCTTTAAATTTTTTCTTTCCTATAAACTCAAGGGCTTTTGGATGGCATACATTTTTTCACTTTGAGAAAGAACATGTGTGTATATATGTATATATGATCGATGTATGTAACATATTCCCAGTACTCAGGGCATAAACATCATTGCATGGTTTCAGGTGCCTGTTTTCGTAAGAGCTGAGCTGGAAAAATGTTTACTAGTTTTTGGTAAAACCGCACCAGCTGGCAGGCTGCAGCTATCAAAGTAAACCTAAACACGTGTATCCTAAAATAGGACTATAGTGGACAAACTTAAATTCATTAAATCAATTTCTGTTTGCTTTTTTCTCTTCCTTGCAGGTTTTAAGCAAAATTTTGGACTGTGAAAGCAGGCATTGGGTGAGTAAATTGAATTATATGCTTTAAAATTTTGTGACAGATTGCTTCCTCTGAATTTACCAGTGCATAGGTTTCTGTGAACTTTGCCACTTTTCATTAGATGAGATGAAGGATAGCTGATTCTCTCTCCATTACTCCCAGCCCTCAGCCTTCACCCATGCATTAGACTATCTTAACACCGTTGTATGTATCATTCATTCCTTTACTCATTTCTTAGTTAAGATTAATTTAGCCACCTACTATGTGCCAGCAATGTGCTATGTGCTCAAGGTGGATTGAGACAATTCTAAAGCCTAACAGAAGAGAGGCAGATGGTGGCTGAGATAATAAAATTAGATACTGATGAGAATAGCTATGATTTTTGAGAACTGTACTATGGAACAGGCACACACCTTTAATTTTTACAACCACATAGGAATTACTACTCCCATTTTGGGAAACTAAAGCCCGGAAACATTAAACGATCTGCTCCAAATCACACAGCTAGCAAAAGGTAAAGCTAGCATGCTAACCTTCAAAGCGTGGTTTCTCTACTCTGTCACACACTCACTGCCTCTCAGTACTAGCAGAGTATTTGGTATGCGGAAGAAAACACTCAACAAATATCCATTCTCTTCGCCTGTCTCCTAAAGAGCTTTCTATTCCAGCCTGTTGGATAAAAATTATCCTTCCCATTTTATAGATGTGAACAATTATGCCTGCAGATGGGCCATGAATTGTTTACAGATCAAACACAAGGGACCTGTTTGCATTCCATATGTTATCAGGCTGGACCACCTACTCTCACACTCCTGGTAAGCAGGGAACAGGTTCTGAAGGATTTTGACCTCTTTTTTTCAGGTGGAGACAAAATGGCCTCACCGGCTGACAGCTGTATCCAGTTCACCCGCCATGCCAGTGATGTTCTTCTCAACCTTAATCGGCTCCGGAGCCGTGACATCCTGACTGATGTTGTCATAGTGGTGAGCCGTGAGCAGTTTAGAGCCCATAAGACAGTCCTCATGGCCTGCAGGTGAGGAGTCTGGAAGGGAGAGGTAGATGAATACAAGGGAATGTGATGGTGCTGGTAGTGAGCGAGGTGGAACACGCTGTGTTTGGGATCACATTCCATTGGTCTCCAGATCTCCAGCACAAGGCCCGGCAGAGTAGGCTCCCAGAAAGTGAACGAACGCACGTACTTTTAGAGAAAAAGAAAAAAAAGTTTCTGTTCTGCGGGTTTGGAAGGGAGAAGAAATCATATACTGTCTCAAGAAAGACTATGTTTGGGGCAGACATGGAGAATAATTATGGTTAACCAGTGAAAAAATAAAAAGTGAAAGAGAGCGTTAAAATATTTTAAGCAAGTTAATTTGAAATATTTTGTTCTTTTATTCCATAATTGTATTTATTTATTACTGTGCTATATTTCCATGGGTGTTTCAGAGTATATGTAAGGTAGTGAAAGTGAGCCAGCTGTTTCTTTATACTTGTAAAAGATTTCAAGTGTTCAGAACGATTTTATGTTACATCATCTCCCTGGGTCTTCGTAGTGGCCTGTGTTGTGGATGGCATGATTATGTCCATTTTATGGATGATAAAACAAAGACACTCATAGATGAACTAATGTAGAGTCAGGCATCTCAATTGCTAGTAGAGAACTTATTCAACATCTACAACAAGCACCTGTTTTTCAATGGTAGCAAGAACAGAGGTCTATAGAGACCCAAACATAATAGCTAATGCTAAACAAGTGCTTACTATGTGCCAGGCATCATTCTATCTCCTTTACATTTTCATTCTTGCCACAACCTTGTAAGGTAGACACTATTGTTCCTGCTTTGCAGAGGAGGAAAACAAGGAGCAGAGAAGTTACCCAAGGTTGCATAGCTACTTACTGATTGATGCGAAGCTCACTTCTGGCAATACACTCAGAAAGAGTGGAATTGAGATGACAACCCAGAATTCTGGCTTCTAACTGACTGCTTTTTCCTCTGCCAGACAGTATGGTACCTGGAGGCATGGCTTAAAATTGGACTTGGATCTTCTAGGAATATTGACCTTGTGATAGTCTATAGGCTTTCAGAGAAAATCAGAATGTAGATGTAGGCATCATTTTATTTATTTGTCATCAATATCCAACCTGATTCTAAAAAAATACAATAGGATTTTTAAAATAAGGATAATGTGAGGGAACAACAAGAGAAATGCTTAACCCAAGTATAGACTAAAAATAGTGCGAATGAGTGCTAAATTTAACTCTGGTCACTTGTGCGGCTGAGATTAAAATCATTTAACCTCTCTGATCTTAGTTCCCCCATTTGTAAAAGGGGGAGAATGATAGTACCTACCTTGCAAGGTTGTGAGGAACACAGGATAATGTATGTGGCCACCTTAATGACTCAATGGCATTTAGTAAGCTCTCTATAAATGGTAGCTGGTGTTAATTGCCATAGAAGTTCTGGAGCTAGGCCCAGGGGAGAGGGGCTGCATGTGACACTGACTGTAATTGATGACAGAGGCTATGTGTCTGCTATAGTGAGACATTCGTTTGTTTTACAGTGGCCTGTTCTATAGCATCTTCACGGACCAGTTAAAATGTAACCTTAGTGTGATCAACCTGGATCCTGAGATCAACCCCGAAGGGTTCTGCATTCTCCTGGACTTCATGTACACATCTCGGCTCAATCTGCGGGAGAGCAACATCATGGCCGTGATGGCCACAGCCATGTACCTGCAGATGGAGCATGTCGTGGACACTTGCCGGAAGTTTATCAAGGCCAGGTGAGCTGCCACCCAGGTGGAAGCCTTGGAAATAAAAGGATCGGAAGGGATCAGAAACCCCTGATAATAAAGCATGCATACAGAAAAAATAATCCTCCATCATGTACCACAACCTACATTTCCACTATTTTTGCATACTTTTTGCCCTTTTTAACTCTTGTACTCCAGACCAACTTGACACCTTACTGCTATCCAGGTTATGTCTTGTGCGTTCCTACCTCCCGCCTCTTCCTTTCTTCCATTCACTCGATATGCCCTTTCCTCCCACCCGTTCTGCATGGCCAGGCTTGGTTGCCAGCTCCTCTCTGGATATTTTTTATAATTATCACTCAGCTCTTCCCTCAGATCTTCCTCTGTGTTCTAAAGCCTTTTGCCTGTCCTTTAGATCTTCCTTCTGTTTTAACTATTTGCATATATGTTTTAGTTCTCCTTTAGACTTCTATTTTAGCTATTTACATATGTGCCTTAGTTCCCCTACCAGCCTATAGGCTGCTCTGATCATCTTTTTTATCTCCCTGCTCCCACCAGAGAGGACATTTATTGAATTAAATTGAATTCACTAGGTCTAACCTACCCAAGGGGCTGGTAGGACATGACCATCATTTAAAGGTGAGGAATCTGAGAACCAAAGATATGAAGAGCTTTGCTAAGTGGAACAGAGACCAGAAGCATTTGATTTGCTGCTCCGGGGTGATTGCATCCACTCTCAAACAGAAGGGTTTCCCTCCTCTTTTGGAACACCTCCAGGAGCCAGGAATTCAGTGTCCCCAGAGCCACGCCGTCTGCCTTAGTCAGTTAGAAAGCTCCTCTTTATGGCAATTCGGAATGACTCCCTTAACCTTCACTCATTGGTTCTGGCACTGTTAAATGTAATCATGTTGAGTTGGCCTATTTTTTGCACCCACATAATGTCCCTTCAAGTATACGCAGCTAGAGCTCGCTGTCTCCTGTGGGTGATGACGGTGGCAGGATCATCATTGCCATCACTTATGAGTACTTTCTCTGAGTCAGGCCCTGTGCTTGGAGTGGTTAAGTACCTTGCTCCAGGTCATATGGCTGCTAAGTGGCATGACTGGGATTGGAAACCGGGTCTCATTTACATACCACATACAAGTGATATCATGTGGTTTTCAACTTTTTCTGTCTGATTTATTTCACTTAGCATGATTATTTCAAGGTCACTTACAGGTGGGATATAAATCTAAAAGCAACAAACGAACATGACAAACAAACAGAGACTCATGGACATGGACAGTAGACTAGTGGTTGCCAGAAGGTAGAGGGTAGGGGGGAAGGTAGACGGGGTGAAGGGGGTCAAATATGTGGTGACAGAAAGAAATCTAACTATGGGTGGTGAACACACAGTGCAGTATGTATATGACTTACTGTTGAATTGTATACTTGAAACTTGTTGGATTTGGTTAACCAATGTCACCATTAAAAAAAAAAAATACTAATGAGAGGAAGGAACTATAATTCTCTCATCCTCGCTCCACACGATATCACTTTATCATATCTCTTCACCAGCAATGCTGCCTTTCCCCAAAGTACACTTCTCCACAATGCCAGTCAGCGTTTAGGGCGAATCCTGTTTTCGACAGGGCACCAGGTTGTCTAAGACTGTCTGAATGCGTGGCACTAGCATTGTGTAAATTCTTCCTTCCCTGAGCCTCAGTTTCCATGTGTGTAAAATAGAAACAATAACACCTGCCTTCTCATCCTTGCAGGATTTCACATGAGTGAAGTGAGATAAGGGCTGTGAAAGCTTTATATTCTATAATCCAAAGAATTACAGATTTTGTGTGACTTAAACATACAAGATCATGTCTAAACAGGCACAGATTGTGTGGGTAACTCTCTTTCCTTCGCTGGGCCTTGTTTCCCCAACTGTGGGCTGGATTGCTAGACTTCTAGTGTAAATGCCATGTGACTGAAAGTATTTCCCTGCTCCAGAGCCATATCTCCTATGTCCAGCTGACCCAAGCAAAACTGTGATTACATAGACCAGTGTCACTTGGAAGGTCGTGGGTTTCGCAGTTCTAATTTGGAGGCCGGTTTCTTCTTTCTCGATTATCCTGCAGCGAAGCAGAGATGGTTCCTGCCATCAAGCCTCCCCGTGAAGAGTTCCTGAGCAGCCGGGTGCTGATGCCCCAAGACATCATGGCCTATCGGAGTCGTGAGGTGGTGGAGAACAACCTGCCGCTAAGGAATGCCCCCGGGTGTGAGAGCAGAGCCTTTGCCCCTAACCTATACAGTGGCCTGTCTACACCGCCAGCGTCTTATCCCATGTACAGCCATCTCCCCATCAGCAGCTTCCTCTTCTCCGATGAGGAGCTGCGGGATGCCCGGATGCCTGTGGCCAACTCCTTCCCCAAGGAACGAGCTCTCCCCTGCGATAGTGCCAGGCCAATCCCAGGAGAGTACAGCCGGCCAGCCATGGAGATATCCCCCAGTGTGTGCCACAACAGCATCTACTCACCCAAGGAGGCAGCCTCAGAGGAGGCACGGAGTGACATGCACTACAGTGTGGCCGAGGGCCCCAAGCCTGCTGCCCCCTCGGCCCGGAACGCCCCATACTTCCCCTGTGACAAGGCTGGCAAGGAGGAAGAGAGGCCCTCCTCCGAGGATGAGATTGCCCTGCATTTCGAGTCCCCCAATGCACCCCTAAACCGGAAAGGTCTGGTCAGTCCACAGAGCCCCCAGAAGTCTGACTGCCAGCCCAACTCGCCCACAGAGTCCTGTAGCAGCAAGAATGCCTGCATCCTCCAGACCTCTGGTTCCCCTCCAGCCAAGAGTCCCACCGACCCCAAAGCCTGCAACTGGAAGAAATACAAGTTTATCGTGCTCAACAGCCTCAACCAGAAAGCTAAACCGGAGGGGCCTGAGCAGGCTGAGCTGGGCCGCCTTTCCCCTCGAGCCTACACTGCCCCGCCAGCCTGCCAGCCACCCATGGAGCCTGAGAACCTTGACCTCCAGTCCCCAACTAAGCTCAGCGCCAACGGGGAGGACTCCACCATCCCGCAGGCCAGCCGGCTCAATAACATCGTCAACAGGTGATTTCAGAAACAGTCCAGACCTGGGGGGTCAGGGGTTACCTGAGCAGGGCTCTGAGGTTGCCTCTTCTGATGGATGCAGGGGCTGTGTTCTTTTCTTGCCTGAAAAGAAATAGGCTCTTGCTGAGCCTATTAGGGGTGTGGGATAAGAGCCTGATGATTGAATTAACCTAAGTAAGGAAGGAGATTAAGCTTCAGTATATTTTTTCATAGCAGGAGAGAGTTCTTTTCTGTGATAGAAGAACATTCCCCGAATCCCAGAGGCAGATCTTGTGGTCTTGGTGTGGCAGCGGGGATTCCTCATACTTGCCTTGGACTAAGGGAGGTTGCTGAATGCAGAACCGAGGGGAAGAAACTGGGTCTGAGAGTGGGGTTTTGGCTAGTTTGACCCCATTGGTGATCTCTATACATGTGCTGTTGGAGGTAGCCTTGAGGATAGCCCTGCGGCCCCAGACCCAGAGTGGCTGCCGGGCTCCCTGAGCACAGGGAGGAGGGCATGGCATAGAGGCTGGGCAGAGTGCTCCACTCTGCTCCAGCTGCTGAGGCTCTTTCCTCCTGCCCGCAGGTCCCTGACAGGCTCGCCTCGCAGCAGCAGCGAGAGCCATTCGCCGCTCTACCTGCACCCCCCCAAGTGCACGTCCTGTGGCTCTCAGTCCCCACAGCACACGGAGATGTGCCTCCACACCACTGGCCCCACGTTCCCCGAAGAGATGGGAGAGACCCAGTCTGAGTACTCGGATTCCAGCTGTGGTGAGTCTCTTCCCCTCCCTCTCCTTGTTGGGGAGAAGGCAGGCCCCCACCTCTGCTCCATGGGATTTGTGCTTCTGTTTTACTTATGCCGTTGCCACTGACTGGGAGTCGCTCCTGATTGGAAGTCCACTGGCACTTAAAACCACCAGCCGATTGCCCGCACTCTTGACCATTTGGGGAACTAGGCTGGTCAAAACAGGGGATGGGGTAGTACGGTTACTCTGGGGTAAAAGAGAATGACGGGGCGGAATTTTCAGCTTCGTTCCAGCAGAGGGAACACGTGGGACTGGCTGTAACTCTCAGAGCTTTCTTAGCCCCTCTGGACCCAAACTTCTGGCGCAGGATCTGGGTACATGTTAGTTCACTCTGCTAGGCCGTCCATTCCGTAAGGGGAAGCATCTGAATTGGTTCATTCCTGTGTCTCCCGTGGGTCCCAGTGAGTCTCTAGAACAGAGTGGGTACTCAGTAAATATTAACCGAATTAGGTTAAATTAGGTTAAATTGAAGTTTGTGGATAGTGTGTGATTGGCACCTCCAATTCTTACCAGATGTAAAAGTCTATGCCTTCCCGCAGCTCTGGCTGCAGTACTGTAGCCCAGTGATACTGAATCGGGCCTGAGCCACTGCAATGTGTCGTTTTCAAATTGTTAAAGAAAAAAATTAGTTACTTACACTGAAAAGTGTGGCACAGGATGTGAACCTGTAGTTGGGAGAGCAGGGACCTGTCCCCCTTCTGTTCCCCAGGCCATTTGCCTTTGTTCTGCACTCCAGTTCCTTCTTCTGGGCCTCTGTTTCTACTTCCACTATCATTTTGGTCTCTCAATCTTCCAGAAGTGTTCGGGAGACATGAAATCTAGATTGGTGCAAGGGTGACCATGTTTGTCATTAATCCTCCTCAGTGACTTCAAAGTACCATCGAATCTGATTTATCTCTCACATTCCTATGATGCTTTGCGTTATGTCATGTCTTGTGAAGTAGGTAGGACAGGGGTTTATTATCCTGATTTTGGAGATAGAGACACAGACAGAGGCTCAGGGACGCGAAGGGTCTTGTCAAGTGAGGGCTTCTGTGTGTGGTGCAGATAAAGCTATGAACTGATAATAAAAGTCAGTTCTCAGTGCTCTCCAGAGGAGGAGCCCTGCTGAGCTTTTCTCCAGCTGATGCAGTTCACATGTGTACCTGCTGGTTTGAGCTTCCCTTCCTTACCTTAATATTCGAATCTGTTTCCTTTCTCCTCTGTGACTGAGACTCTAAATGCTAAGAAAAATAAAATTCCCACAGGCCCCTTGCCCTGGGCTCCCATGAGTGCTGAGTGGGCAGGGGCACTGGGCATGGCTCCAGAGGAGAGGGGCCTCGGAGCCCTGTCTCCCTTCCTCGTGCTGACATCGGTGTCCCCTCCAACCCTCCAACAGAGAATGGGGCCTTCTTCTGCAATGAGTGTGACTGCCGCTTCTCTGAGGAGGCCTCACTCAAGAGGCACACGCTGCAGACCCACAGTGACAAACCCTACAAGTGTGACCGCTGCCAGGCCTCCTTCCGCTACAAGGGCAACCTCGCCAGCCACAAGACCGTCCATACGGGTATGGCCCTGCCCCACCCCACCCGAGCTCACCAGGGTCACTCGGGGCAGGAAGGGGAGTAGATCCCAGAGAAAGCAGTGTGGGGCTTCGGAACGCGGCAGGGTGAGGCAAAGAGCAGGCCCCATCCTGGCCTGAGTGAGGGGCCTGGCCCTGGAGCCTCTTTGCTTAGTGACTTGTCCACACCCTGTATCCTTTGTCTTTCCTCTGAGATGCTCTGTCCTGCTTCTCTGCCTATGCTGGGGTCAGAAGTGTTAATCCCACCGTAAAGGAGGAGAAACTAAGGCTGAGAGAGGCAAAGTGATGAGCTTTTGTAAAGCCAGAAAAAAAAACCCAAAGGCTTCTTGATTTCCTCTAAGGGCTTATTCCTTATCAACTTACATTCCTTTACCAGGTAGCTTCTAATAACCTGATTGTTGTCCAAAGTTGACTCTCTTTTGGTATTTTAAATGGGTCCTTTATCCCAGAAACTTTCCATGAGGGAAGGCACAGCCCTTCTGTTGGTTTCCTCTGTCTGAGCATCTACTCCAACTCAGGCCCCACCTCTGTTGCAAATGGAATCCAGCCGTAGTTGCCACAAGTGGAAAAGCATGTTTGTTCTAAAAGAGAGAAACTAGAGCAGCCTGATTGTATCTCCCTGGTGAGTGGGTTGGCTATTCAATCAGTCTTATCCAAATGAAGAGCTAGAAGAGCCTTCCCAGGTCATCTAAATTCGCCCCTCAGGTTCCAGAGAGGGAAACTGAGGCCCAGAGAAGGAGAGTGACTTGTCCAAATCCCGCAGTTAGATAATCCTAATGACAAAGCTGGTTGCGAGGCTTTCCGAACCTCAGTCTCTCCCCGTCCCACACCTAGTGTTGCTTCTACTCCTCCTTGCCTCTTGACTGTGATCAAGGCATGCTGGTGTGTGTGTGAGGGAGGTGGGGCCGGCCGGGAGCCTGGCCCCTGGATCCTCTCTTTGACATCTTCCAAGGGAAAGAAAGTCGAAGTAGCTCTGGGTAGGGCAGTTTGCTTTGAAATTCAGGGGCCAGGGACTGTGAGCCTCTGTTGACTATGGCTTTCCTTTTCCCTCTTCTCTCTGTAATAGGTGAGAAACCCTATCGCTGTAACATCTGTGGGGCCCAGTTCAACCGGCCAGCCAACCTGAAAACCCACACTCGAATTCACTCTGGAGAGAAGCCGTACAAATGCGAAACCTGTGGAGCCAGATTTGTACAGGTGGGTAGGGGGTTTGGGGGAAACACCCCTCAGCCTCTGCATGTGGTGGCTGCCGGGGGGCTCTGCAGCACACCCTGAGAGAGCCGCTCATGCTTTGCTCTTCCATTCAGGTGGCCCACCTTCGTGCCCACGTGCTCATCCACACTGGCGAGAAGCCCTACCCGTGTGAAATCTGTGGCACCCGTTTCCGGCACCTTCAGACTCTGAAGAGCCACCTGAGAATCCACACAGGAGAGAAACCTTACCATGTATGGGCACCTTTGTGGCTACTGGCTGGCCTGGGAGGGGCAGGGAGGTGGAGAGGTGGGGCAGCGGAGCTGTTTGCTCCAATCTCAAGTACACCAGTGGGATGGTGAGGAAAGTAATGATCATAAGACCTGGACTGGGGCCTGATTTTCAAAGACACCCTGCTTGACCTTGGCCTGGGTCTCAGTTTGCTTATCTTTAAAATGGGGGTGTTGGGCTAGGTGATCCCAGCCTTAGGAGAGAGGTCTGGACTATGGATACGTGGATCGTGGAGTCAGTCATTCATTCCGCAAATATTTATTGAGTGCTTAAACTGGGCTCGATGTCTACTTAAGAAGAGCTAAGGTGTTTGAGAAGGAGCATCCATAGGAGTGGGAGGAGAGCCTGAAGAATGTGGTGATATAAGGAAAAACAAACAAACAAACAAAACAGAGAATAGGCTGTTTCAAAAAGGAGCAGGTGGCCAGCAGCAAGATGCTGAGATCGGCCCATTGGAATCACAATGTTCTAGGGCAGGGACTCAGCAAACTAATGCTTTTTAATGTTCTGTGAGCTAACAATGGTTTTTATATTTTTAAGTGTCTAAAAAGTCAAAAGAATAATATTTTGTGATATGTGAAAATTATATAAAATTTAAATGTCTAAGTCCATAAACAGAGTTTCATTGGAATACAGCCATGCTTACTTGTTTACGTATTGTCCGTGGCTGCTTTCATACTACAGTGACAGAATTTAGTTGTGTCAGAGAATGTAAAATATTCCACAAAGCCTAAAATATTTCCTTCCTAGTTCTTTACAGAAATAGTTTGCCCATCTCTGCTGTAGAGAGGAAGATATTGGTCGGGCAGCTGAGATATCTGGGTTCTTATTCTGACTTTGACAGTATCCCTTTTGGGGGGCCTCGGACAAGCCCTGACCCTCTCACTCGGCCATAGTTTTCTTTCCCTGTAAAATGTTGAGGATGTAGATGAGGAGTTTTCAAACTGTGCTCTTTCAGTCACCAAGGTTCTACATCCTTGCAGGGCAGGACTGGGCTGAGGCTGCAGCCTCTTTTACCTTTCCAGTTTCCATTTAATTTGAAAGGAGAGTCTCCTGGCTTCCAAGTGTGGAAACCAGTGTTATGAGTGATGCTGACTTTGATGAGTTTATGGCATCACTCTAGTAGTGATAGACACAAGAATTAATTGATGAATGATTAACTCATACCACAAGTGTTCACCTGCAAAATGTGGTTATTTTCATTTGCTTGTTTATCAGCCCTTGAGTAAAAATCTTCTTACTCGCTGTTTGTTCTGGGGCACAGTCGTTATCCTCTCAGTACCTTAATTTCCTCACCTGTAAAATGAGCCGGATAATAGGGCCAACCTCGTGGAGTTATTGTACTAAGTTAAGGAATTTCCTAGTATTCAGAATGATGCTTGGCACATAGTAAGAGTACAATAACTATTTTCTATTGTAATTATTCGCTAGGAGATTAGATGCACAGGATGTCAGATTTAAGAGTTACTTGCAGAGTATATTGTCTTGGTCCCTTACAGAGGGAAAGCCAAGGCTCAGAAAGAAGTGACACATTCAGGACGTACAGCAGAGTGTGGCATGGATATGATTGGCCCCTCGTTTCCCCGAGACCACGGTTCTTTCTACTCGCTGGCCCACCCGTTCTGTTTTTTCATTTTTCTAAATTTATTTCTATTTTTACTTTAAAAAATTCTCTATACGAACATATTTATTACATTTTTTTAATGAGAATAATTTTAAATTTATGGAAAAGTTGCAAAGGGTATAGAGAGTTCCCATACATACCCAGTTTCCCGTTAACATCTTACATTAGTAGGATACATTTGTCAAAACTAATGAACCCATACTGATATGTTATTCTAAACTGAAGTCCATACTTTATTTGGATTTTTCTTAGTTTTTACCTAAATTGTCCTTTTTCTGTTCCAAGATTGCATTCAGATTACCACATTATATTTAGTCATCCATTTTACTTTTAGGTAACTTTTCCACTAAAACTATTACTGTCCATTTATTGAATCAAAGTGAGAAACAGCTCTACTTGCTGATGCCTTGTTAGCTTATCTAAGGTATGCATAGTAAGAGGGAATAGAACTGTATTTTTAAAAGCATATCTCAGACTTGAGAATTTTCATGAATTCAGACGGTTGTCTATTTGTCCAAATATATTCTGATTTCATGCATATTGCCTAAGAGATATATTCTACTAGATATTAGGAAGATGATAAAATTTACTAAGTGGTCACTGCCCTCAAAGCATTCCCCACCTGGTACGGCAAGGCTAGAACTCTTACAGAGGTTCAAAGGAAAGAGGGATTATTCTTACCCTAGAGAGATATTCAAGGTAGCTTTAATAATTAGGGGAATTTGCATCTGAACTGCATTTTTGGGTAAGACTTGAACTTGTAGAGTTAAGACAGGGAAATACCGCCCAGGCAGCAGAAAAGCATGAGCACTGCTTTGGAGAGCAGATCAGGGACATTCTCATAAAGCCTACTGGTCCTTTAGCGGGAGCCAGGATCCACGTGGGCTCCTAACCTGGCCAACGAGAGAAACTTGCTACCAGATCGCTTGCAGGGGGAACCTCCTCTGGGTCTTTGAAAAATGACACATTTCTTGGGTTGATGACAACTAAAAGTTTGCCTCTGGTTTTCCTTTAGTGCGAGAAGTGTAACCTGCATTTCCGTCACAAAAGCCAGCTGCGTCTTCACTTGCGCCAGAAGCACGGCGCCATCACCAACACCAAGGTGCAATACCGCGTGTCCGCCACTGACCTGCCCCCGGAGCTCCCCAAAGCCTGCTGAAGCATGGAGTGTTGATACTTTCCATTCGAGCCCCTTCTCAGAATCTACCCAAAGGATACTGTAACACTTTACAATGTTCATCCCA